ATGTAATGTCATTTTGTTCCTGGTGCTAAGCCATAGAGGTTAGTGCAGATAAGTGTCCCTCTGGTCCTGTTTTGGTGGTGTTTCTCTGCACTGCTGTGTCTGAGCCCTGATCTCTGCATGTGTTCTGTGTTCCCCAGGCCGCCCAAGTGGTCCTGATTTCTCTGTTTGAGTTGAACACCCCGGAGTTCACCATGCTGCTGGGTGCCTTGCCGAAAACATTCCAGGACGGGGCAACCAAACTCCTGCACAGCCACTTGAAGAACTCCAGTAACACCAGTGTAGTAAGTGTACACAAGACTCCTTTGAAAGAGCCATTCATGCAGTTGCACTGCTTTGCTCTTCAGTGTACTATCGGGTCATGCAGTCATTTGCAACTTCTTAGAAAAAAAAAACAAAACCACACAACAGTTCTGTGGTCGTGTTAAATCTTCTCCACAGCAATATCTTGTCAATAGTACCGCTATAATGTCCTCACTGTGTGGTAGTGCCCTGTTAATCCTGTATTTAGAGACATAGTACAGAAATATGCAAAACAATGGTTTAGTGGTATTTGCTTTGCAAATGCGTGATTGTTTTGTAAGTGAACCCTGATATACCGGAAGACTTTTTGCTCAGATTTCCATCTGCTGTGCAGGGAAGTCTTGCCGTCGTGCCGTCGATGAGCGTTAATAATTAACGAGGTGGACGTTTTCCCTTCTGCTGTGTACAGGGCTCTCCCAGCAACACCATCGGGCGCACCCCGCCTCGGCACGCCAGCAGTCGCACCAGCCCCCTCACGTCGCCCACCAACTGCTCTCACGGGGGCCTGTCGCCCAGGTACCGTGCCCCTTCGCCGCGGCCTGGCCGCGCAGCCGCATGTCAAGCGAACGGCGAGTCGCGGGCGGAGGGAAATGGAAGTTAAAACGCTTCAGCGAGATTGCATTGACACAGCGCGTGTTCGCGCAATCCACAGATCATGTTAAGATTGTAGATTGTACAATTCTAAAAGCTTTGCAAAAACCTTATCATGAAATGTGGGCACAGCAATCGCGTTTCGTGCGTTCTACTGATTTCCCTTTTTTAGCATGTTTTATGGGGTCTTGTCCTGTTCTGTGTAATGCAACTGGCCTTTGTAGGGAATTTAAGTACTTTGGAAAGACTGCTTGCTTGTGATAGAAACTGGTAAACAAAATGGAATACTCCACTAGGACACTGGCTCACCCTTCAGTGTTTTGGGGACTGTAAGTGTTGCCTTTTAAGATTTGACCTGGAGCAGTTTCCTACCATGGTGGTGATGAGTTGAAATAATAATGATAAACGGCATCATTGGCATTCTTTTAAAAATAAAAAAAACACAGTGTGCAGTACTATGAATTAAAAGTACTGTGAGAGAAAATAATGCAAATTATGAATCTGTCTGTAAGGCAGAATGTATTCTTTTAGTTCTTGCTTGAAATCTCTTCAAATTGCTGTAAAGCACCTGTGTAGAAAACAATGCTTTGTGTAACATACTGATGCTTTTATACCTCAAGCCGGGCTCCATGACCCGAAATACAGACGGTAACCTCTAGATTAATATCGAAAGGGCTGGCTGCTTGTTAGATACAGAACAAAAATAGAAGGTGGGATATTTAGCAATAAACAGAACATTCCGTATTTGTTTATCTGTTTCTGTTAACTCCTTCTAGTGATCTCTAATAGCTGCATGCAAATAAACAAGCCACTCAGACTATAGTTTCTTTTTCTCTTTTTCTCCTCTCTCTGTTTCTCTTCTTACTCTGCTTTCTTCTCCGTTCCGTCCCCCCCCCCCCCGTCCCCTTTCTCCCCTTCTCTTGTCCCCTCTCTTCCTGGCCGCTCTGTGGCTACAGTCGGTTTTGGGGTTGGAGTGCCGATGGGCTGTCAAAGCACCCCACTCCCCCTGCTCAGCCTCACTCCATCCCCACTGCTCCCTCCCACAAGGCCTTCAGGCGCTCTTACTCTCCCAGGTAACACGCTGCTGCTAGCCGCCAGCTGGGGCGTCACAGTAGGGCAGAGAGGGGGGCGACAGCGAGCAGGGGCAAGGGCCCCCCTCCCAGGGAATGCCCCCGGAGACGGAGCTTTCTCCATGTCCGGTTCGCGTGCTTCCTTCGTGGTAGCGTTCTTGAGAATGAACCTTCCAAACAGTGCAGCAGTTGGCCTGCGCACCTCTGGCTTCACAGAGAGACTAAAGACATTCTCTTAAAAAAAAACCCTGCGCTTTCTGGGAGGGAAAGCCCTGCCACTTTCAGGGCTTCTGTCTGTCGGCGGCTGTGATGCGTCTCTGAAGCCTGTCTTGGCAGAAACAGCAACGGGACCCCTCTGGCACTGATCGGGAGCTGATTTGTCATCTTTTTTTCCTCTAGCGTCTGATGTTCAGTCTGTTTTCACTTAATGGGAAAAATCAAACATGTACTGTGACGCCCCTTCTGGAGTATGCTTCTCCCGTGCATCATCTTTTCTTTGTGGAGATTTTTAAATACAGCTTATTTCCTCTTGCATGCATTATGAGTGGCTTAACTTGGCATATATTTCATCTTTTTGTCTGTGCGTTTTTTCCACAACTATGTTGTTGCATTTCAGGACGAGCTTTGCCTTCTGATCTTGTTTCAGTAAAGACCTTTTAGCTCCATAGGTCTGTTTAGGACATGTAGGCTTCCTGTTTGTGTCATACCTGTGCCAGTTGGGTTATTGGAGATTTAGTTACAGGCAAATAAAGCAGTGTTAAAGGAGTAAAAATATCAAAGGGCTATAAGGACTTGGTAAGGAAAATTCTTCTCAAGCCGTCTGTGAAAACCTGAATATCCAGTTCAGCATAGATAGTGCAGATAAGTGTTTGTTTCACCTACAAGCCACAGACAGCCTGGACATGTTTTCAGTTAAAGATTTCTAGCTTTGCTCCTCTACTTACAGTACCTCGTAACCTGCCACGCACAGTGAAGGGTTTCAGTTCAATAATGTACTCCGTAGAATTAATCCACTGCATTTCGATTTTCTTAACATGCTCACAGACACAGAAAACCAAACATTTAAGATTATACCAATACACATTTCTTAAGGCAAAATAGATCATTTATTTAATTTGCTCATCTGTCTTCGTAAAAAAGAAAATACTTTTCATGCTAACATAGACCCCATATTATTTGCAATGAGATACCTGTTCTTTTACAAGATCTGAGAAAGAAACCTCCCGTTGCATCCCAGTCTGTTTGTAATGGAAGGGAACAGTCTGTAGGACTAGGGCAGACTCATGTAATGGGGCAAAGACTCACTTTGCGTCAGAGAAAAGTATGCATGCAATTTATTGTTGAAGAGCAGATCTGACAGGTTGTAAAGTGCTTCTCATGGGTTTTTTTTCAAGCATGCTGGACTATGACACAGAGAACATGAACTCCGATGAAATCTACAGCTCACTGCGTGGGGTCACAGAGGCCATCCAGAGTTTCAGCTACCGCAGCCAGGAGGACCTGAACGAACCCATCAAGCGTGAGGGCAAGAGGGATGATGGGGTGAGTACTCAGAGCTGCCCTATGATAGGGATAAGGGCATTGTGTTGCCAGCTGGTAGCCTCTCAGAAACTGATGAAGGCCAGCCTAGTCAGACCTGGGACAGGAGATCTTCCATGGAAAACTCGGATGCTACTGTAAGTGATGTTGGTAGACCAGGAGGTGACATTTTTCCCCATTGACCCAGAACGTCCAAGCCGGTGCCCCAGTACGGTGAGCAGGGGTAAGGAGCTGAAAAGAGTGTTGTCCTTTGGGTGAATTGTTAAACTAAATACTTGCTCTGGTACAGTTACAGTTTACTCTGGTAAACTTAGTACTTAAACTTTAAAGATCCAGGGCACTGCTCTAAAGGGTAGGGTTGTTCACCCTAGTCTCTTAGCTGCATTCCACACTAGAATCGTACAGTTTGACCTCGCTAATGTTCCTCTTTAATCCAGATGGCAAAGGAATTTTCTATTCTTCTGCCCGATCCCCAGTGCAGTGGGGCTTCTGTGTTTCACACAGGTGGGGGCAGGTAATATTTATATTTAAAGCACTTTGGAGATCCTTTGAGATGGAAAGGGCTGTATGATTACAAGGAAGTATTATTAAATGTGTATGTACCCAAGGAATTTGATAAGAGTTTAGTAAGAGAAATATACTGCAGCACTCCTCTGCACAGAGTCGTAACTACGCATGTACAGTCGTTTTCCAGAGCTGGACGGGAAAGCAAACTCCATTTTGAAAGAAGAATCTTCATGTCGGATTTGGTCATTCATTTAAGTGAAATCCAAATATTAATACATGACTAAAGCAGGTTCCTTATGTTTACTTCCACCCGTCCTGACAGCTAAACAGGGGACGTCACCGGTTTGTCCCGGCGGCCTGTAACAGGTTGCTTCTGTCCCGTCCAGGTGTGCAGGGAAGGTGGGATGGCGTCTCCGGGTTCGGACCTCCGTGTGGGTTTGGACGTGGTGGAAGGGGGGCGGACAGCTTTGGACAACAAGACCTCTCTGCTCAACACGCCTTCGCCGCGCTCCTTCTCCGGCCCGCGGCCTCGAGAGTACAACCCATACAGCTATGCCGACACGATCAGCGCTTATGACAAGAGTGCCCTGAAGGAGGCGGTGTTCGATGACGACGTGGAGCAATTCCGTGATGGTAAGGATCTGTACACTGCCGCCAGTCCTTGCACCCGAGTCCTGTGTGCACCCTTTTCTTATCCGTCTTCCACCTCTTCCTCATATCGTTACCTCATCTCTGTTTTGTGTGTTACAAATAGGACAAGTGTGTGCGGGGTAATCACAGGAAAGGGGATTTACGGTTTACAGTGCGAGGAGTGGATAATTAAGGATAAATAAATACAAAGCCCACATTAAATAGAAAGCAGGGTGATAAAAATGTTTCGAACACAAACATTGCTTAGGTTTGAAAAGAAATACTCAGAAAAAATACTTGAGCCTTTAGGCAACACTCGCATTTTGGGTTAAGAGTTGATCTTGGCAGCCCCTCAGGACCTTATCTGCAAAGAAGAGACGAAAGCTCTGTTTACTCTTTATACAACTTTCCCTAAGCACAAAATACAAGCATGCTGTTTGCAAAACACACAGGACTAGGTCTGGTAAAGTTAGTAGTGCAAATCTCGCCCCAGTGCCACTGAGCAAACCTGTTCTGCACTGCTGTGATGATGACAGTCTCTCGCAGGCAGCTGCTCTTTGTCGCTGAACGCTTTGGTCTCCGGCTGTAAATAACCCAGATGTGGTGGCTCTCGGTTTGCAAAGGGTGTCCACAATCCGTTTTTTTTTACCGTTATGTTTTCTCAATCAGTATTGCCCTCAGCAACGTCTGAGAAAAAAACACAACTTGCCTAGTGAGAAGGTAGCTAAATGTTTAAGCTTTGATTTTAAGTGACACGATACTTAATGGCTAACGTATGATTTCCCAGTAACATGGGAAGTCTGTGCAACATTGATTAAAGGTGATTTAGAGTAATATAAAAACTCCATGAAGCTGCCTGTTTATAACAAGGTCATACTCCTGTTTTTTTGTTTTTATACTCAATGTGGATATCCAGAAACATTCACTTTGTGAGAATTATATGTGAATTGCAATCAACATTCAGGCATATTTCAAGAAATGCATTGAGGAGAGTTAATTGCAAACTTTAAGTTTGAAATAAAAAAATCAAGGCTTGTCAGGAGCTGAAACAGTTTCACAGGAAGGGGGTGAAGAATTGTGGATTGGATTATTCATTTATTAAGCACTTTGTTGAAAGATGATTATAACATTTTACGAAACATTTTAGAACTTGCACAGGGTTTCACTGTGAGGGGCAGAGCAGGGTGTTGTAAAACACGTTCATGATTGTCAAATGCTCCTTACTGTCCTCTCCAGGCCGTCGACAGGACTGCGTTGAAAACAAGATGTTGCATCCCAAGGGTTTTACTCCTGGTAAAATCATTTTCAATGCAAAATATGTAGAATAAGATAGTCCAGAATGATTTTATGTGGTTAAAGTGGGTGCAGTTTAACTCCATCTGTAAAATGTGGTGTCATTCATCTAACTTCACCTAAAGCTTTTGCACTACTACCAAACATAAATGGAACAAGCTTGTCTTCATTACATGCCTTTAACACTGACTCATACATGCATTATCTTAACACTGCTAGAAAAACAGGAGAAGTGAGATTGAGAATTAAGATGTTCTACTAATAACGACTAATAGTGAAGAAAAATAAACACTTTGGCAGCATATTGATGTTAAGGAGTGCATTTTAAATTAACAAATGCATACAGCAGACACATGCATGTGTGTGCAGCATACAGTTAATATACTGATGCACAAGTTAAGATTGCTAGAGTGGGACATATAGATTCCCTTGTGCTGTTGGCACGATTGAAGGCATCGTCTTTGCCCAGAGGAGGTGATGTTCAGCTTCAACAATCAGCAGACCAGTCTAGAGAAATCGGGAACGTCTATCTTTAAGAACTGGCCATATACTAGAAGATGCAGAACCACACTACCTTGAGGACTGTCACATTCATCTTGCCCATCTGTGTGGTCATTCACAGACCGCAGTGGCTGCAGCAAAAGTAATTCCAGGTAGAAGTAGCCTGTGGAGAATTAGAGTGATCTGGATGCTCAGGGGTAACGCTAACAGCCAAGAGACACAATCGCTGTCTTTTGTGGGCCAGAGTGCCCCTGAGGTGGGGGCAGAAAGCATGTTTTGCCCCTGACGGAGCACTGCAGAAGGCAACGTGTAGCGACTCGAAGTCGAGAGTCATGTGTCTGTTGCGATCTTCAAGCAAGTCAGTGGTGTGGAGGAAGTGTGGCGGTGCAAGGTGGAATCAGGGGTTAACTCAGTAACCCCTCTGTCACGAACTGAGGACAGCGTTACTGCTCAGCAATACATTCATGAGGTCCTTAGGCCGAGGTAGTTGTTCCAGTCTTTTAAAATCAGTCCAGGAGTGTCAGTTTTCCGGCTGGACAATGCGAGATCACCCAGTGCAGGATTACATCGGCACAATTTCCAGAAAACAATGTCCAGCACTTGCTTTGGTCACGTTTTAACCCTGACCTGAGCCCAGCAGAACATCCTTGGCAACCGGCTCACCAACAATAGCCATCTGTCATCAACAGAAGACGCTGTTGTACCCTTCCTCATGTGGCAGCAGCCACAGAGGAGTGATAGAACATCCCAAAGCCTTCGTTTATCCCAAACCCCTCTAAGTTTTTTAAGTGATATGATGTCTGGAAATCATCATTTTCACAGTTCATCATCGGTCTTGAAATTCGATCATGAAAACTGATTTATTGATCTTGTGATCCGATCCTTTGATCACATTACTTGTGCAAACCAGTAAAAACGCTGTGGTAAACCAAGCCTTTGAATATATAAATGGAATTGACTAGGAAGTGCATTTAAAACACAGGTCAGGTGGCACTTCGTTACTCGAAGTATGGATTAAGCTAATTAGTCATGTTGTTGAAGCTGATATCCTGGGCTTTTTTAATGAACTGAAATGGATAAAATCCTTGATCAGTAAGCTACTAACTACCAAATGGGCTAGATAGACCAAACAAACTTGTTTGTAACCGTTCGTCTGTTCTTATCAGCTCTAATTTTCATCACATTTTCCATGATATATTTGTGTTTGTTTTTAAATATTTAATTAAATCCTCTGGGCCTTAGTGTTGCATTTCATTTGTGCACCAGTATATAAGATGTGTGTGCTGTATACATGTACTGTATATGTATGCTGAAGTTCCATTAATACGATTCTGTACGTGAACTAAAAACCCCAATAATGGTACAGCTGTGGCACAATATTACATAAGAGAAAAATAAAATCATCTAATTGATTCCATTATATAATTCCATAGAAATATGATGGAGTCACATTGTGATCTCGGTTATTTACAAAACTGGGGCAAGGGAGAGTGAGCTACATTTCTAATTCTTTTTGGACCAAAGCACATCAGGAAAGAGCCATTTCATTCAGACATGAAGCACAACAGATCCAGGGCTTTTTGGAGCCACCAGACCAGGATCAGTTGCTGAAATGTCTTGTTCCAGTAACAGTAACGTGATCTAAAAATGTATTGGATTCACAGGTGCAGACTTGACACTTTGCTCATTAGCTTTCTGTCTCTTTGATGTCCTCATTATTGTAAATTATATATATATGTGTGTGTGTTTATACACATATATATATCTTGTGTTTGTCTATACCCTGTTTGTGTACAATATTTGCCCAAAAATATATCGATATTGTACATGTATCACAAATGCAAATGATTAATAAAGCAAAAATAGTGCTTGTGGCTTTGCAGTCCCAGTACCTGCGGGCCCCGTAGGCGAGGAGTTTCACTCCGACCCTGAACATCGTGCACTCGGGCGCAGCCGCTGGCCTGTGCGCGTGCGTGTCGTTTCGGGTTTCTGTTCCGTGGTGGTGACGGGGTTCTCGCCTCGTCCCAGAAGTCCCCGTCGACCACTCCGACCTGGTGGCGGACCTCCTGAAGGAGCTGTCCAACCACAACGAGCGCGTGGAGGAGCGCAAGGGCGCGCTGCTGGAGCTGCTGAAGATCACGCGGGAGGACAGCCCGGCCGTGTGGGACGAGCACTTCAAGACCATCCTGCTGCTGCTGCTGGAGACGCTGGGCGACAAGGACGTAGGTCTCGGGGGGGCTCTCGGCCGCGGGCGCCCTAAAATCAGGACGCCCCGGTGACGGCGGCGAAACGGATCGGCGCCGATGCATGTTCCCAGCACAGAGGACTCTTCTGCAGAAAAACCTAGTTAAAAAAATTCAGACAGAGTAGCTCAGAAAAGTCACTAGGTTTAATCACCCCAAAATCTCTTTAATTTAGGGTATACGCTACACATATGTGAACAAGTAGAGGTTAATTCTGTGCTGAAAGCTGGAAAGGAGAAACAATGATTCAACTGTTTAGCCCCCTTCAGGTGTAAAGAAGGGTGACGATTGGACACACCTGTAGGAGGTTAAACGGCTTAATCATCGTATCTGCTTTCCACTTTTCAGCAGGGAATTAACCTTGTTTAAGTGTTCTTTTGCAGCCATTGCACAGTGACACAACTCCCTACTCAAACACCTGTATCTCTATATTTTCCTTATGTTTGGTGTGGCTTATTGAGTTGTTGAGAGTCCTCTTCGACAAAGGCTGAGGAAAAAAAAAACATTTGCATCTCCTTGGTTGTTTGGGAGTTCTGTTGACTGTTATTAATAAACAATAAAAGAAAACATTCTCATAGCTAATTCTTGGTCTCCTTTGGCGTAATATTGACGGTGTAAATAATATTTGCAGAAAGAAAAAAAAAAGGGTTTCCGCTCTGATTAGCAAGTTATGCTGTTTTGTCTGTAAAAGCTCTGACTGTTTTTTCTGTTCACTCAGCACTCCATCCGAGCCCTGGCGCTACGAGTCTTGAAGGAAATCCTACGGAACCAGCCAGCCAGATTCAAAAACTATGCAGAGCTCACAATCATGAAAACGCTGGAGGCACACAAAGATTCCCACAAGGAGGTGAGTGGCAGGTGGCATCGAGAAGCAGCCCGGCCCTGTCACCAGGCTGGGACTTTGGCTCTTTCGGTTGTTAGACGCTGAATGATCCAAGGGTTCCATTTAGCTGCTTCTCGAAAGAAATTGGGGAAAAAAACACTACGAGAAATACAAAATAAAAACGAATCTCCCTTTTATTCACGCCTGCAGACTAGATATAAGGACATAAAAGGGTTTAAAGCTAAAGAGAGCCTTTCAACCTATCTGGCCTATATGGTAGTAGTAATTTGATCATTATGGATGTCATCCAGCTGTTCCTTGAAAGAAACCAGGGTATCGGATTAAACATCTTAGCTAGGTAGCTTACCCTTTGAATAAAGACGTGCCTCCTCTTTTCAGCTGTAAATGAACTTCTGCGCAGTTTCAACTTGCCGTTTAAATTTATTGACTTTCTTGGCTTGAAAATTCAAATTAGTTGACATACCATTCCCAAAGTCTGGCCGCAATAAAGAACGTTGAGGTTTTTTTTTGGAGTGTGTGCTAGTTGAACCAGAAGACAGGGCCCGCCCGTTTGTTTTACAGGCAGGTGATAGAATTCCCTCTAAGGATTAGTGAGTGGAAATAGTGACTGGGCAGTCCTACATAAAATAACACAAAGTCATTATATTCAATGTCTCATAGAGAGCCACAGTGTGGAGTCTGATCAGTATAGTATATAGACTCCACCTACCGCTGAGCCTGGTGAAACAGTGAAGGCCTGTTACCTTTCTGGTGAATGACCTTCACTCAGGCATGACTGGTTGGGTGTCACCCCTGTGGCTCTTGTACCCCCTCGTCATGGCAACGGACAGCTGGCCACTACTGAGCAACAGCAGGCTGAAACCCTGAAATTGGATCAAGCCGTTTTTAAACCACTAGTTTTAATTGAAGGCATACAGTCACATAAAAGTATTCTGTTCCACCTCACTTCATGGACGATATGGAAGGGCCGGAGTTAAAGTGGAAGCTAAATGTCAAATCAGAACAAATGGAGCTCATAACTTCCATATTACATATTTAAATGACGTGCATAAAGATTCAGGAGGTTAGTGTTTCTTAAACAGGATGAAATGTAGGTAATATAAATGGTTGTGAACTTTTTTGTTATAAGTGATTTAATTTTTCCAGTTAAGCCCCTTATTTCCACTTAATTATCTTATACCCTATACCTTTACTTGTATAACACAGTATTTTATATTTGTGTCTGTATAAGATACTTATCAGTCTTTCACATTTGACAAATTGAAAAACAATTTTTTTAGCATTTTCTTAGAAATTCATCCTCCTAAAAATAGTTACATCCAGCATAAATGCCTCAGTTGTCTTCTGCTTTTCAAGGGAATGGACTGAATATTTTGTATTCAATGTGACACAAACTTTGCTTTATTTCCAGGAATTTAAAGCTTCAGTTAGCAGAATGGTGACCTGCTGTATATGCCGGTCTTCTTACTGAATCAACACTAGAGTGTGCTGTAGCATTCTTAGCAGTTTTTAAACATTACATGCTAACGTTTTGCTCTTCGTGTTTGGTGAGAAGTATTCTGATTCAGCTGACATTGTTTTGAGTAATTGTTCTTGATTTAGGCAGCGGTTAGTAGTTCGATATTAACATAACATCACTTTATTAGCCCTGTACAATTTCTTGCATTAGGAATTTGTCTTTTCACATACCCCAGCTTGCTCTCCATGAGACACAGACACACAGACAGGGAGAGAAGCTTGAATTACCCCTAAGGGGGCTCAAGGGGTTGAGGGAGGAGGGGGGTGAATCGGGGTGCCGCACAGTCTTGTTTGCCCGTTGCCAGTGAGCAGTGAGAGGTGTGACTCCACTGTCCTTCTCTCCCCGGCCAGGTGGTGAGAGCCGCAGAGGAGGCAGCCTCCACGCTGGCCAGCTCCATTCACCCGGAGCAGTGCATCAAAGTGCTGTGCCCCATCATCCAGACGGCCGACTACCCCATCAACCTGGCAGCCATTAAGATGCAGACTAAGGTCATCGAGCGAATTTCGAAGGACTCCCTTCACCAGCTCCTCCCAGACATCATCCCAGGACTGCTGCAGGTAACGGCATCGTCCCGGGTGTCAGCTGTTTGTGTTGGCGAGGGGGTTATTGCAAGGACTGAGGAGAACTTACACAATAAACATGTTTTGACAACTCCTGAGGAGGCCTTTTTTTAGAACCAAACCAGAAATATCCGGCAAATCATTTCCTTTCATGTTCTACTTTTGATACTATTTATCTTTTGCCAGTCATCACTGGAATAACTTTGAAAGATACAGGCATGTATTAATTATTGCAATCCATTTGGGCCTCATTTTTTTAAATTGAATTTGTCTCTTTATACAGTTTTACAATGTATGAATTCATACATCTGCCTGTTCCCCTGGCAGAGCCAGCTGTGTCAGGCAGATGATCCTTGACAAGAGCGGAACAGCTGGGCACTGCTGCCGACTTTGACTTCATGTCTTCATGGCACAGAATTAGAATCCTCTTCAGGTGGTTCTGATCTCTAATATTGTGGAACAGTCACAAGCCAATTATCATTCATACTCTCGTGATTTGTTCTTGATAATGTTTTTCCTTATCCACTTATTTTATTGATTTTGTACAAGTGCAGGTCACCCTAGAAAAAGAGCTTCTGTTAAGCAAATAAGATCACTTTATTGGCCCTGTACAATTTCTTGCATTAGGAAGTTGTCTTTCTGCATACCCCAGCTTGCTCCCCATGAGACACACAGACAGGGGGAGAGAGAAGCTGGGGGTCAGAGCGCAGGGTCAGCCATTTATACGGCGCCCCTGGAGCAGCTGGGGTTAAGGGCCTCGCTCAGGGGCCCAACGGTGTAGGATTCCTCTGCCGGCCTTCCAGCCACAGGCGCAGTGCTGTAGCCACAGAGCCACCGCACCGTCCCAGAATATGGAACGCTTCACGAGTTTGCGTGTCAAATACGTCGTTCTCTGGAGAGGTCTAACAGGTGGCCTGTTGTCCTGTTGCAGGGCTATGACAACACTGAGAGCAGTGTTCGCAAGGCCAGTGTCTTCTGTCTCGTCGCCATCTACTCTGTCATTGGCGAGGATTTGAAACCACACCTCGCACAACTTACAGGAAGCAAGGTATGTGTGGCGTTTTGAGTTTTACACTGATATGTACCCTTTAACTTACATAAGCCGGGGGGGGAGGTGTCATTAAGAGACCTAGCCATGGCTTTTTGCACAACATACAGGGAAAGCTGCGTAGCTCTTGTCTGCACACCTAAAATGTGCTCATTTTCTGCCAGTCTCGCAGAACAACGCTCATCTTAAACTGGAAGAACAACCAAACTTATTTAGGCGGAACTACATTCACTGAGGTATAAAATCGCCAGAGAAGGCAAAGGAAGTTCGGCTTCTGTGTGTTCTGCTGCGCATTGAAGGACGTTTTAAAAAAGCCTGCACCTGTACCGCAATCTCATAGCATAACATCCCTGTCGTGGAGCCTTGAGCGTGACTCACTAAACACTCTCATCCTCAGCCTGGCTCTGGGTTGCATAACTACAGAAATGCCTGTAGCCATCAGTCCTGTCAGCTCTTCGACTGAATTAAGCCTGTTTTAGACCCATGTGCAAACACTGAGCGATAAACTATAATTCCTTAAATAAGTGACGTGCTAGTAGCGTGACATTGCCTGAACATTTTACCCTGATAAACCTTCATACCTCAAAAAAGAAATTGATTTTGTAATTAATTAGGGGTTTCTCCCCCTATAAGACACTTCTGACATTTTAGAGCGGTGAAATATCCAAATCTGAGGCCCTTCTCCCTGCACTCGGTGACCTGGTTAATTTGATTGGCGTGTATCGGCTTGCAGGGCGTAGTCACAGGGTAGGGCATAGTGTTGTAAGGGCTCCCCGCCAGGAGAAGCGAGAAATATGACACCAGCACACGCTCTCTTCAGCTTTCTAAGAATTTAAATTAGTGGTATAGCTCATTACTCATTTCACTGGGTGTTATCCTTGGAACTGATCTTTAGATTCCATGCTTTTTTTTTTCTGCCCAACAGTGTGTTTTGCAGTGTGCATGCACATACTGTACCTTTTTGTGTATCCACCTGTGTCGCAGGTTGTGTGTGTGTATGTGTATAAGATAAGAGAGAGCACTTTATTGTCCATTTACAATTTCTTGCATTAGGAATTTGTCTTCTCGCATACCCCAGCTTGCTCTCCATGAGTGTATGTGTACAGTATGTATGTCTGGATACTGAACATGACCTGTCCAGCCACTTTACTGGGTCCTCCTGTCTGGCCTGGGAGTCGAACTGCCCTGTACCAATAAATCAGTTTGACCGGGTGATGTGAACTATGTACTTTTATAATATAATAGATGGGTGTAACTCAACTGTATTTCAAACTAGGTGCAGATCTGCAGTTGACAGTGAAACATCCTGAATCTTCTGTTCCTGGAATATGGTCTTTTTTAAGTTTGGAGAACTTAAAGCCTGTTTTCTATTATTTGTCAGTGATTTTGGGTGCGTTCACAAGCTATAGAATAGTAAGGCTCTTCTCTCACCTGATGGATTATATGTCTATGATTTGATAATTAAGGCCTGCCTGCTTCTGAGCAATTTCTACGAAGGTCTTTCCTTTTGCTGGCCATTTTCACTCTCATGTGACAACACAACAGCGCTTCTGCAGCAGCCTGGAATGCCTGAAGGTACTGGTGATCAAGAGCAAGGTTATTCTAAAACCAGCAGCCTTGCCACTCCTCTGACATTTTGATTGGCCTTTGAATAATGGGGGCATTAGACATTTTTCCTCCTGACAAATTCCCTCCCTTTACTTATCGTGAACCTTAATATTTTCTCTTTCAGATGAAGCTGTTGAATTTGTACATCAAAAGAGCCCAAACAACTAACAGTAACAGCAGCTCATCCTCAGATGTCTCCACTCACAGTTAGCAGGAGGAAACTGAAGGGAATCATGCATCCGGATTGGGAAAAAGCTGTGCCTCTTTCAAAATCCTTCTGTCTGTGTTTTCGTCAGCACACCCCTTTCTACATCATTAGATGGAAGTGCTTGTTGCAAGCAGTGTTTTCTTCTTTACAGTATCTGTCAATTTCTTTTATTTTGCGCAATGACCTCAAGCTATGTTTTTCTGTTTCACGTTTTCTCCCTTTTTAAGGAATGAAGAATGTAAAGAGGTGTGAATTAGTGGTGAATAGTTTAAACGTTCATTTTTAGAAATTTGAAAAACGCGAGTGTCACACTGTATGTTGAAGCCTGTCGGCTTCCGATACATTTTTAACCGCTGTCAGTCATTTAGCTGGCAGCTAATGTTACTTTGCTGAAATTGAAGAAAGCGTCCAAAAAAGTGTTCTGCAACACCTTGGAAATATTGTGAGCTGAAAGACCCCAAGTTACCTTTTCAGCATTCCAGTCACTCATCAAATTTACAGCGGTTCTTGGATAAACAGTTCAGTCTAAGAAATAAAACATATCTGAGAACTTATGTAAAAGAATTATACAGTTTTAATCTTACTCTTGAATCCCATTGAGTAATATAAAATCATTTGGCTGGCCCAGTGATAAAGCAGCAGGACCCAAGCAAACAAAGTCAACAGTGTGAGATGGTTGGATACAATAACACTACCAAAAATTAGCATTGTAATAAGTGTTAGAATATTATTTTATATTTTTTGTAACATGATGGTTTTAGGTAAACTTACATCTAAGGACCACAGTTTCACTGCTCTCGTTCTAGTTTGTTACAAATGGGAAAAGATTAGTTTATGTTGTACAGAGCCAAAGCTTGATCAACTGTTTTAATTTTTTTATCGATCGCTATAAAGGCCAGTAAAGGCATTTACATTTTCTTTACAATCTAGCCTAGATCAACATGTCAGAATGTTTTGTAGAATCTTTGTTGGTAAAAGTATTAGGAATTGGACTGCTGATTACTCAGCCTTAAAAAAAAAATGATAAAACTACTGGATGTAGCAAAATCCTTATCAGTGTTTTTACTTTTCTCATGTAATTTGCTGAACTTAGTTGTTAAACTTCGATTTTTCACTTGGAGCAAATTCTGCAGTGTACTGAATTCAAATGAATAAGAAAAAGAACAAAAATAATAAACGCAGGTAGTTTCCTGCTTTACTGGAAAGTCTGCAGTGTTTGGCACTGTGGTTGGGTTTGACATAAAAGCAGAACTAAAACCATGCTGCACCACCATCAAAAAAAGAAAACAATTACTTCAGCAACCTTTCATATACTGTAGCGTGGATGTTTTCTGATCAGTGTTAATGGGGACATTATCTGGCAGGACTCTAATCCCAAAATGGCCCAATTTTAGTTTCTAGCTATCTAGATGTGTTGAAAGTCAAAGCACTGTTCAGCTATCAGACATCTCATGTACGTGTCTTACAGACTTCATGACAGGCAATGTCAGTTTTAAAGTTTTAAGTATTAAAGTTTCAAATGTCCCTTTATGATTCTGTAACTGCTTTAAGAATAGAACACATACTGCTAAATACAAAGTACTCCTCTGAATGTTCATGTGCGTTTAGGGAAGAAAACTAAACCCCGTCTGGCCTTACATTACTTTCCAAGTACTGTTTCACTACACAGACTGTTAAAGGAATAGGTGTACAGCCTTAGTTCAAGAAGATGCGAAGTCTTACTTGTTGCATCTCTGTTGTTTCTCCTCCCTAGATAGTACTGAAGACTGTATGTTTCTGTTTGCAATAAAACAGATGTCAAATGATCAACTGAAGATTTTGTGCTTTAATTTTCCAATCAAGTAGCTTGGCGATCCGATTACACAGCCCTTCAGTTTCTTGCACGTTACCAATATACCTGCATGTGTCCGTGACGCCCCCAGCGACTGGCACCACGTTTAGCGACGACGCACTGCTAACTTTCCAGTCGCACTGTGCATAGTGTTAATTTCATCTAAGCACATTCAATTTTTTCGGCTGACAAAATTGCCATCTGAAAAACATTAGACTTGAAAGACATCAATCAGCGTTGTGACCACAATCTGGATATCCAAGGCTAATGGTTGTTCCGCAGACTGCAGCAGTGGACTGTGGAGAGAGTGTAATGAATAGACACACCCCATGATTCTAGTTTTCATGTAGTGCAACATACTGAGGCATGTGGCTTTTTAAAGGTACACTATGTGTGCTTGCCTTGACTATAACCGACAATACTTTTTTATTGCATACCAACAGCTTTAGGCCATGTATAAGTAATTTGCCATTTTGTCATATAAAACCCCTCTGCCCTTTGCAGATAATTATCAGTTGAATTACTGTATAAGGGTAAGTAGCCAGCCTTTTGTAGAATACAGCGTTTTACTGTCAGTATAATCTGCTGATGCATCAGACATTAGAGATGGTATTCCTAGCAACCTGTTCACAGCGCATGGACTTTTTTTGGCTTTTGTCATGTAATATCCATATCTGTATTTATATATTTGTTTTATTTTGTGTGTATTATGACAACTGTACATATTACATGGTTTTTTTTGTTAACATCCACGTGATAGAATTTGCTAAAATATAAACTTGAGTTTGCTCTAGAAATAAACCAACTTCAAAATGTTTTGTTGTTCATCTTTTATACGAGTGTTGGTCTTTTTTTTCCCCCCCTAAACGTCTGCATGCCTATCGAGATGTAATCTCAGAATATGCTGTGCACCTCTTATTAAATAACCTTCCGTACCCAGACGTGATTACACTGAAGAAACTCGGAATCGATCCGAGGATCCAGCCCGTTCCGAAAGGAAGTCACGGGCTCAGGCTTGAACAAAATCGGCAAAACCAACATTCTTGTATCGACTTAGATGTGAGAAAGGATATTATGAATGTTGGACACGGCGGCTTGTTCTCGGACACTATGAAAAGCGTGAGGTCCTGAGAGACCTTAACTAGTCTTTTAAAAGGGTCGGGGCGAACAATCCGTTTTTTTATTTATTTGCACCGTATAGTCTGTTAAATGTGGGGCTGCAGCACAACACCTGCACAGCTTAAGGTTTCTGGGTGCCCTGTATCGTACTGTATGTGCTTTCTCTTCAGACTGCATCGCCCACACTTTCCCCCGGCTAGGTTTCATGTTTGACTGGGAACACAAACCAATGTCCCTCTTGGAGCGGAGTCCAGGACCCGAAAGCACATCAGGTTATCAAAGTTTCAGGATGACTAAAATCTGATTTCCTAAAGGAATATCCAATGTCCGTTTTTTGACAGAGAGGTCTGTTCAGAGTCCGACTAGAAACATGTTACAATTAAGTGCAAGAACGCCGGGCACAGTACACAAACTTTTTTTTAAGGTTAAAACGCTTATCATAAGCCGTCAGACTGTGCAAAAAATGAATTCCGAATAAAACACTGTATATAAACTAAACCCAATAAACTCTGACTTGCCGCTTTCCACCTTTGCATTGTTGTGGAAAACCTGTGGTAAAAGGTTATACGGGGTATAGCGCCCACTGCTATGATCTATTTGAGTAAAATTCTCAATTGTATTGTGCACCTTATTAACCTTTAATTCTATGATAACGGGGTTTTTTTTTCAAGTGTCTTAATGCGCTCGCTAGTATTTATTTTGTAAGTTACCCAACAATTGTTCTAAAAGGCTGCCCGCAACCTTGTGGTTTCGTCCTAAAGGAAAAAGATGTACTGTAAATCTGAGGTCCTGTTGCAACACTCCGCCACTTAGTCTCTAACAGATCGCCTTGCTGATGAACTTCTGCTGTAACCGGTTATTGCAATCAAGTGTTTACTTTCCATACTGTATTTTATACATTTTAAATATGTACAATTCTATTGGGAATAGCAACATTGCGTACGGGTTGGCCAATGAGGATATATATCTGTATTTAATTTGTGTTTATTAGATGTTATTTTGTAAACGTTTATATTTATTGTTTTGAATGTATCAAATACTTATGAAAATGAAGACGAGGAGCGCAGCTGAATGTATTTTAATTCTTCAACACCCCATGCACATATTGCAGTCTGAAATTCTAGTTTCTTTTTAATAAAAACTAAAAGGCAGCAGTAGTCATTTTTGCAGAGGGTTTCAGGGTGAAGGCGAAGGGACGTTTTGCTACAGTTGGCGCCCATCTGCATTTCACTACAAGAAAAGCTGACCTGGAGGAGGAAAAAAAAGTTTGTGAGCACACCTGTAGCGCCCGCGCTGTCACCCTTGCCGGGGGGTGTGTCAGTATCCTGACTGAGGTAGGCTGAGGTATGCTAATAACCTCAGACGTCAACAAGAGAATAAAAGAGCGATGAGTACTCTGCTGGAAAGACTCGAGGTACAGGTACCCGTGGTTTCTGAAGAGCCGTTGATCCTCTGTATCTGTTTTCGGATACTGTTGTAAGCACTGGAGAAAATGCTGTTCTGGCACAACCAACCCGAGCCCTATCACCAGCACTCAACATCCAGCTATCTCCGGTAGGATTACAATTTTCGTTTTAGCTCTGAGCGCTGGTCGTTCATGTGCACTTAAAGCGCGTTGATGATAAAATAAATTGGGCTAAAGATACTGAATTATTTAAGATTTCATAGCCAGGATAAATTGTATTTATTACTCTAATAATGGTACAGAAATTATTATATTTGTTGTTGTTCACAAATGTGCCAGTTTTTTTTTTTTGCGAAAGATAGCTTCTAAAACTATAATTCAATCGTTTTACCGACATTAATCTATATCTCAGTTGTACTGTAGTACAGTGTACACACGGGTAGTTCGTTTGAGGTTGTTAGTGATTATCAGAAATGGACGAACGCTTGTCCCAACCTGTTTATTTCTCGCTTTATGAGAGTTACAGTATATTGAACTGTGTTTTTAAAACGCAGTTCGGCAGCCGATTTAATTCAAAAGGGTCGTTTGCTATTTTAAGAATGCCACCCAAGTTTTCATTTGTTTTATCGGTGTTTTACGTTCATCTAGTACCCAGAAAACACCTAAAATGAGTGAACTGTTTTCACAATTGTAAATTGAATCGTATGTCAGCTGCGAAAATCGTGTTACATTTTCCGTTCTTGTAATTAATATCTACTTATTATGATCGAGCGCACAAGGTATTTACGCCCCACTGGATTAATTAATTAATCTTTATTAATGAATGCTGACCTCTCCCTAGTGAATCAGACTTGCACTTCTCGCACGTTTCCATTTCTATCGTAAATTAACTGCTGATGATACATTAATAACTCACTTGAGCGTTTAAGTGGGTTTAAGTATGGAATATATCATAAGAACTAATTTATTTTAGTGAAAAATAACCTGCTATTACCAGGTCTAACAAGATCATCTAACGTATCCCTGTTCCAAAACTGCTAATTTACTTTTGTCGGTTCATAACAAATACACTTCTTTGGTTTTTGGGCTTTTCCACAAAATAAGGAAAATAAAATGACCCAATTGATGAGACTCGGGAGGATCCGAACAAAACGAAAAACAAGATTGCTTGGAGAACATCTCCTCCAAATTCCAGAGCATTTCATTACAGATTTATAGATTTTTGCTTGCGGGCTTTTGTTTATTGTAAGGTAGTGCGGATTTCTAAAAAATAGGGTCAACCTAACTTTCCGGTTTTGACCATCCTAGATGGCAAGGTCAGGGGACAACCTAAGCACATAATGACAGGCTTGAAAACGTGGTGCCTGGGATCTTGAGCAACATTTCATCCGAATAATTGACAACATGACAACATGAAAGATGCTGTAAAACGACTTTCAATAGTGTTATTTCAAAGTACAGTACAAAGTTCTGTTTTCTCTGGGCCGCCAGTGGTAGGGTGTACCTACCTTACATTCCTGGGCTTTTTTGTTATTCTTTTAATTAGAGTTCATGGGTGATATTTTCTCTTTCCCCATTTTCATTCCGTCTTTGCCTCAGTGAAAGAGTGGGCTGCGCCTTCAGGATTTTCCGACACCACGGACAGATAAGAAACTAGATGAAGGAATAACTTTCGGAAATTGAAACGTCTTTCTCTGTTTTGGAGAAAGCGGCTTAAACAATTAGTAGTGAATAAGACTGTTTTCTATCTGCGGCTTCTTTGTCCCCGCGATCGCAAAATATGTATTCTGGTTTCATTGTTTATTTCACTTCCAGCTGCGAATATTTATTTTTCAGTGATGTCCTGTCGTTACCGATCTTTAAACACGAGGACCATCAGCACGCCAGTGAAAACGCCTCCAAAATGATACCTTTCCAATACATCCTTTCTGCGGCCACGTCCCCGGCTGTAAAGTTACAGGATGAGACGCTCACTTATCTCAACCAAGGTAATGATGACCTTTTCCAGCCAGAGAGAAAACAGAGCCCTGGAGGCAGTAGGTGTTTTCAGGATTGTACAGTATGGTTTCTCCAAGCCCTAGTTTTATGAATTTGCTGTTGAGACACATCGAGTGTGCTACAGTAAGATCGTAGCTCTTCACTATCTCCGTGGAAGCTGTGTCTCTCCCAAAATGCATTTGTAGCCAACACCAGTTGAGAACTCTGGGTATGTTTAAGAAATGGCTACAAGTACAGAGTTTTAAGTTTATTGAGTAGGTCTGTACGCAGAGGACAGGAGTCTTTGACCACCTCACTTGTGTACACAGCGTCTGTTTTCCACAGGGGTGACACTGCTGACCACACAGCACTCTGCCATGAGCAGTGAGGGCCAGGCCCGAAGGGGTTCAGATTGCTGTCTCTTGTACTTGGCAAGCCGGAATAACCTGAATAGATTGTCCTTTCTGACCTTTCTGCACCAGTACTTTCATGTGCTGAAAGGGGAAGAGCTCCTCCTATCCCACTCTCACTGTTTTACTAGGTAAACAGTGAAAAAATAGAAACCTTTTTCCCCCCACAGAGTTGACCTATTATGTTTTTGCTCAGACATAGTAATTGTTAACCTCTAAGGCAGGGTTCAGAAAATATTCAGTAAACAGGAGAATGTGTGTCAATATTTCAAGCCTGTTGTTCTCTGGTTGTGCTGCCTCGCCTCTGTGGTTTAATCTAGATTAAGAGCACTACACCAGGAATACAAATAATATCACAAATATTGTTACTTTTTAAGACACAATTAAAAATTAAAAAATGTCAAACACAATTCTGTTTTGTCATTTACACAGGTAATTATTAAAACATGTTTAGATTTAACATCTTGTATGATAAAAGCAATGATTATTCACAAACTTTACTGATGTTTTTTTTTGGAGAAGCCCTTTTTTAATCAGCGAGATGTGCACATTTACCCCCATGTTCATGAACTGTTCATCTCTGTGCTTTGGCTATTTAAAAAGTGAAAACATTTTACTTCCTGAAGCATACTTTCCTGTTAAGCAAGGTTTTGAGAAATTAAAAAAATACCCATCCATCATAAACTACAGATCTGAAAATTCAACTGGGAAAGTTGCTTTCCAAAACTGTTCCTGTTTTCTTTTCCAAAGCCTTACTCCTGCACAGCAAAACTCAGACCTGAGTAGTACCACTGACTAAATGGATAGTTGTGCCTTTTTCTTTTGTGCTTATTTCATTTCTTGACAAGTCACGCGCTGTAGCAGGATTAAGGATTAACGAACTCTCGTCCTGGACAGAGCCACAACTTTCCACATAAACTCTTAGTTCCTGGTATTCTGTGGCATCTGCTATTGTACTGTATATTTAACAAAACATTAAAATCCACGGGACTATGGCTCTCTAGAGTCAGAATTGGCAGCAATTGTCTGAAGTGTGAACTCTGCTCTCGTTTCTGTTTAGTTTTTCACTGTTAAAGAAAGTCTGTGGCATCATTTGCCTTGGGCAGTATTCATTAAAGCTGTGTGCAAGAAAATTAATCACCATTTCACAAGTACCCCAGCAGGCTTGAAAGCATACTAATAATAGTTAATATGAATTATTATTATAGTTATTACTATAATTATGAAGGCGTATACTTATAATTTGTTTCCCTGCCTAATGCATTTGAAAGTTCACTGCAATATCTAAACAAAGAAGCAAACATAATTATTGACGTATGCACCACATAAGAAGTGAAATTAAGAAGAAAATCTGTTCAGGTTCACTACTTCTTTAATCAAGGTCCTTGAAAATTAAAGAGACTGAAGTGCTGGTGCAGGACAAGCTCCTCATCCAGGCAAGATGCACCTGTTCGTTCTTGCCTGCTCGAGAGCAAAGAGAGCCGTGTCTTCAGCACAGGGTGATTTGCTTCAATGAAATTTGATCTCACCAATGATTTCAAATGTCCATTTCTCAAATTTAATCAGGTCTGTTTTAATTTCTTAAAATGTAGGTCAATCCTATGAAATCCGTATGCTAAACAGAAAACTAGTGGAGTATACAGATATAAGCAGCAAATTTGTAAAGGTAGGTTAAAGGTTTTGTGTGTGTCTGTTTTGTTTAACTCTGTGTGATTTGGATTCAGTTCTTTTTTATCACTTCTATTGAGTTGTGTCTTGTTAACACTCAACAATAACAGACAGCTACCACTACCTCAGCTAATAAAATGCTAACACACCTTTTATACTGTATATTTGACATACCATAGGAATACACAAATGTTGACCAATAACAATTGCACCATTTTTTCCATATTTATTTAAAAGTAAGGACGATTTATTGTATTTTATTATTACAGTGATTTAATATTATCATCACTTATTTTACCTAATATTTATTTTTTAAGTGTTTTAAGTACCCATTGTATTTTTTCTGTGTATTTCTTCCGTACAGAATCCAGGAGACTGGGTTATTGTCTTTTGAGGGAGAATAAAAAAAGACAATATCTCTGATGCTCACGGCTAATGTCTGAAGCAGAAATAGCACCCAGTAGAGCTTCTCTATGTACCCCACTTAAAATTTGCTCCAGTAAAACTTGGTTCCTTAGAAAGAATAAGAGAATAGAATAATATTATGTAATTTTGCTGCATGTGCTCATATATATAATATGCATCTTCCAAGAAGCATACTGTACGCAAACAATGACATCCTAGTGCAGAAGCAAGGCAAAATGTTTTTTTTTTCCTTTTGTGACTGAGGGTCTTAGATTTGCACATCATTTGAATTATAGTCTCCACCCTTTTTCATCCCTGTAGGGCTGTAACATTCTTTTCTCTACTCTGTCTCATCCTTCACAGCTGCTGGGGAATTCTCTGTTGCTAGGCTATGAAGATATTGCTTGTCCCCGTGATGTTTAGACAGTCAGACTCTCAGGTCACCATGAACAGGTGGCACCTAGGCAAACAGATGACTAAATTAAGTGTTGAAAGCCAAAGAGGTTTAGAACAGCTATGAATGAATGTAAATGTTGGAAAATTAACAGGAAACATGGTTGTTAGTACTGTATACATATTCACATGCTCTTTATTTCTAGTGCATTTATTAAAAAAATCAATTAGTTGAATTGAGTTTGGTTTGGGTTTGTTTTTTTTACTGTACCCTTTACCCTCATAATTATTTTCCATTTCTGTATGTTTGATCTGTACCATTAAACAGGTTATTAGAATCCGGTTTCTTTTCCTTTATAATCGGTTAAAATGTTTAAAGATGGCCCAGCTCATATTTTCCGCTTCTAAGGTGACATTTTAAACAAGGCACAAAGATGAGATTGTCTCTCACAGGACGTTGTTTCAAGACATGTCCATACTGTGTGTTATCAAACTGGTGGACTGCAATGTGTGGGCAGTGAATTGAGCATGATCCTTGAGTGTGCCTATCGGTATAAAGATACAGTAGTATTTCACTGGTCATTGTCTAAACGCACACATTTTAGTCTATTCACAGGTGTCTGTAGTATTCTTTACTACAGCAAACACATATTTTATGCTACAGATAGAGATATTTTGAGTTTCTGTCGGAATATTTTTTTCCTTGAAATATTCCGTGTCGGCAGACTCGGCTGCTGCAGCAGTCACAGCTCTTTGTGGGTTTAGTGGGAGAAGCAGTCTCGGGAAGGGGAGGCTCTGAGGGGCTCACTGCTCTGCCCTTGTTTTCAGAGCATCGTCCGAGTGGTGTTTCACGACCGGCGCCTGCAGTACACCGAGCACCAGCAGCTGGAGGGCTGGAGGTGGAACAGGCCGGGCGACAGGATCCTGGACATCGGTGAGCCCGCGCGCCGGACACGCTCGCTCCCCTGCTGTCCACTGCCCGAGCGGCAGAGTCCGGGGGCTCCCAGGGCCATCAGGCTTGATCGAAAGTCTGTCATGTACTTCCTGTTGCTGTGACAAGGTGGCTGGAAAAGAAATTGAGTTCAAACGGAGTACGCATCTGGCTTGGGCAATAGTGGTAACAATAATGGAAACTGTCTCCAAATCCGGAGCATTTTGAAACGTAACCGAGTTTACTAGGGGTTTTTACTTCAAAAGGAGGACAAGTAAGGTTTTATTAAAACGTGAGATGTAACATAAACTGATTGCCATTGTCATCTTCTAGATATCCCACTGTCTGTTGGGATTATGGAACCCAGAGCCAATCCACTTCAGCTGAACACCATTGAATTCATATGGGATCCTGCTAAGAGTGCCTCTGTATATATCCAGGTACAGCAGCACACGTGCTAGAAACACATTTCATAGAATGAACAATTTAAGAAAAGTAACACAGGTTATTTAATTACTCGGTGATCACATATCTGCAAACTGTTTTCTAAAGAAGGGAATAGGCCACCAATTACTGTATGTTCTTGCATGCACTAAACTGTCAATAAACAGTTTTCACTAAGACAATGGAAGTGCTTATTCATACCTTATATCAAAAGGGCTCCTTTTGTCTTTGTGAATGTCTGCATTATGTAGTAGAAGTATTTAATTTACCCTTTTAATAAAGAAATCAATTTCTTTAGGTCAGTGCACAGTTCTGGTTCTCATGGAAGGATATTTCTAACTACATCTAAGCTGTAGCTGATTTTTAACACAAAGTAATTATCCATGCTCGTTCTCTGGCCTAGAGACCCAGACCCAGATAATTTACCTCCATTTAAAAAACGAGATATCTTGTGTTGGGTTGTCTCAATGCTTCGAATCTGACATCCCACTGCCATGAAAATCCGACAGTGTCTTGTGGGACTGTTGTATTGCAGGTGCACTGCATCAGCACGGAGTTCACTCCGCGGAAACATGGGGGAGAGAAAGGGGTGCCTTTCCGTATCCAGATCGATACTTTCAAACAGAACGAGAACGGAGAATACACTGAGCACATCCACTCTGCCAGCTGTCAGGTCAAAGTCTTCAAGGTGAGCAAAGACTTCAGCATCCATTCAGAACTGCTGAGGGGTGTGCTAATTGAATTTACTGCGCACATTAGATGCTACCCTGAGGATGATACCTGTGGGAATGTTGAAAACCTGTCCATGAAAAGTGAAGAGAAACTGTCCAGCTCGGGGAATGTTTATGCGATCTCTTACCGACGACTAGTTGAATAACATTAACTGATGCAACTTTTTTGCTCAGTGTCTGAACTGTACACGACTGACAGAAACATAAAGGAAATGTGGTTCCATTTTTCTTCTTTACACATAGCCCAAAGGAGCTGACCGCAAGCAGAAGACGGATAGAGAAAAAATTGAAAAAAGGACTCCTCAGGACAGAGAAAAATATCAGCCTTCTTACGAAACAACTGTTCTTACAGAGGTGAGAGAATTCTGCAAATCTCTGCTTTGATGCCTGAAACCTTCATTACATATGCAGTAAAATAAATAAAGATTTCATTCATTGATCTGAACCAAATGAGATTATTATGTTGACTAGTAAGGCACAAATTTACCTGCCTCTGTTTGGCATCATGGTTACAACCCCTTATTTACAGTAGATTACACAGTGAAATGAAGAGGCCTCCGGCTGTTAATTGTTGAGGACAGTGCCCTATGTGGCTGATGAGCCGATGAAGTGACAGAGAGAATGTGTTTTGTGTGATTGACAGTTCAAACTGGAGTTACTTTTCCTTCTGAAGCTAGTTACCAGTCCCAGGTCTTCCCATCAGCCCTGCTGAAACAGTAACCTAAAACAACCGTCTGTAAGAAGGCCCAATGTCAGTGAGCACTCCTGAAAGTAAGGCAACTCGTCTTCATGGGGCCTATATAACTGGTCGCGTAATCAGGTGTTTCCAGTTTAGCAAAACGAATGTGAGAAGTGTTCGGTGTTTGAGAAATCATACTGCAACAGAGGAATGTGTCCGTCTTGTTATTGTTGTGCTTAAGATGTTTGCACACCACTGGTCTCCCCTCTGAAAAATCCACCCAGTGCAAGAAACTGTTTTTTTTTTTTCTTTAGTGCTCACCATGGCCTGACATGCCTTGTGTCAACAGCACTAACAGCACCCCCTCTCCGGTCTTCAGTAGTTCTCCAACCACCTTTGGTCTCGGAGATGGGTATGTTCCACAGCTTTAATCTCCACGTTCAGTGTCAGGAATACTACCATTCTATCACGTGTCATCTTCTGTGTTGTTGCCACATTCGACAGCTGAGACATGACAGTTTGAACAGTCTCTTCTTTATTGGAGTTTTCAGTGTGTGAAAACAATAAAGCATGCAGTGTTTTTCTAGAATCTGGTGAACACTGAAAAAGTTAGAGGTTCAGTGTTAGCCCTGGAGAAGCCAAGCCAAAAGCAGAATTCTATGTGTCTGCAGGGTTAAAAGCATTTTTTAAAAAGCTCCTGGTGACTGACAAGAAGTTGAAGAAACAAAGACCACTGTACAGAACAGTTACTGTAACCATTTTCCCTTTTGAATAGATTTTTTCCTTGTTGAAAGCTCTGAAACAAAAATGCATTTTCCTCCTTTTCAAAGATCGGCTTTTGAAAAAATCCACAGATGCAAAGGAGGGAATATATTCTTTTGACTCTGATGTGAGCTATGCAATTGTGCTCATGTGCCTCTGGCAATACTGGATAAAATAAAACCATCAGAACTCTTTGGTTACCTGTCTCAATAGTGATTCTGTCTCAAGACGCAGCTCCAAGCAGTGGGTGTCTAGTTTGCACTGCCCTGTGCTTGACAGTGCTCTGAATCGGTAGGTACGGAGCTACTTACTCATTGACCTGTTCTTCTCTTTCCCATTCTGTGTAATTTTAGAAACTGCTCTCCAAACCAACAGGGGGACCCGCTTCTTCCCAGCTGCTCTGATGTAAGTACTGTGAAAGATGTGTTAATTTCGTGCTCTTTATTTTTTAGGAAAGTGTTTGAAGACACTGGTGCTCTGTTCATTTCAAGGCCTCTTATTTTTTTGCAATGTAGCACCTTCTCCAATCTTCCTCCATCCAAGACACACAGCAATGGCTGCATCGCCAAAGGTTCTCCCCTTTCTGCAGGCTCTTCTCTAACTTCTCAGGTAGGCAGGGGATCCATATTACCTGCTTATTACACCTGCATGTATTTGCACAAAAATGCTGGTTGCATTGACCAATGTAGCACAAGCTGAATAACATTCTAAATAGGAACAAGTAAATAGGTTTATTCCGTGCTGAAAAGAGAAGACAGAAAACACAACGTTTCCGCCATGGAGCCTTCTTCAGGTCTGAGGGTGAGGCTCACACCTGAAGAAGGCTCCACGGCCGAAACGTTGTGTTTTCTGTCTTCTCTTTTCAGCATGGAATAAACCTATTACTTTTTTCCTTTGCAGCCTACGCATGCTGATGCAGCTACCCCCCTGAACTACTTTAACATACTAAATATCAAGCAAAGAGAAACACATTCAGTGCGCTGTAATTATTACCGTGAACCATTGGCTCAAGACCTAGATTGTATTTTTTTAAAATTTAAATTGTTGTTTTTTCATGGCTAAATTCACATTTCATGATCACACATTCGGGAATTTCTAGTACAAAGGGTTATCAGATGCTGTAAATATCTCAGGTGCCGATTTACTAAAGATGTCAAAGGAAGACTTTGTCCAGATCTGTGGGCCGGCTGATGGGATTCGCCTCTTCAATGCAATCAAAGGAAGGTAGGTCCCACCTGGATCTGTGCTGAAAAAGTGTAGATAAGAAGGGACAGGGATTTTGTGAAGCATGTGTGTTCTAAAATGTTCACATACAAGAAGCGAATGAGAAAAAATAGCTGTTCACCACTATATGTATAGAGGACACAGGTGGAAAGTACACCAATTTGAAACCATGAACAGGAAGCACTTCTTTACTCAAGAATTTGTGGTGGTGTAGAACAAGTTTCACAGCACTGTGGTAGAACTCGATACCCTTCTTTCAAGGGACAGCAGGATGAGATTCTTTAGGATCACTGAACTACTAACTACCATAAAGGCCAGATGGGCTGAATGTAACCTTTCTTATCTTCTATCTGCACTGCAGGCACAAGATATAGGGGATCTTTAATATCTTTATTATCTTTTTTTCAATTCCAATTTCTTTTATCGTTTCAATGTCATTTTCCCATCTAGGTGTATTCAGCCCCGCCTCACTGTGTATGTGTGCCAGGAACAGACCAGGAATCACCAGCAGTCCAAACCTGAGAGCAGTGACGGTAGGTATTGGTGATATTCCTGTGTCCTCCCCATCCACCTGTACTGCACTGGGAAACTGGAAACATCAGAGTGACATTCTGCTGATAGAGAATGGATAGAGAAGCACCTTCATATTCATACTTCATAATTAATTACAAAGCAGCTCACGTTTACTGGAGCGATTTGTGTTTCCTTAGTTATGTACCATGCGCTCAACAGTACAACAGTAGTGTCTCAACTGGAATTCAGACCCACATCCTTCCAGTTGTAAGTCCGGAACCCTGACCACTGCTCCACACAGCAGCCCTTTTTGGAGTCTTAACAATTATTATGGATCCCTCTCTTAATCTGAGGGACTTGTTTGTTACAAAGACAGTATTTTCTGTGTTCCTAGCACTGCTTACAGTAAGTTACTGTAATGTTTTGCTCCCCAGGAGCATCCAATAGGTTTGTCTTAAATATATTCTAAAATATATTCAGGTTTATGCTGCTAGTATCCTAAAAAGAAATAAACATAGTGAATATGTTTCACCTATTTTAGTCCAGTTCCTCTAGTTTCCAAAGGGTTTCATGCTGTGGTTCCCCTGGCATATATCTAAGGACTCCTCAAACTGTAAATCCCATCACAGAGGCCTGACTTACCTTGAAGTCCTTTTTCTAGCCATCCTTGTCTCCAGACGGCAAACTTGTGGAGCATTTTACACATTCAGACTCTGACATTCACTCTTTAAGCGCATTAGAAACTCAGAACGTATAGAGACGCAAGCAGTCAGTTCAGGGTAGTTTTGAAATGCTTATTTCCGGAAGGATCTCCGGACACCTCTCTAACTCTAAAAGCAGACTGCAGGTCATTGTGCTGTGTAAAGGTACATCCAAGCTTGTATACCTTTGGACGGAGCACAAACACACATTGCTGTTATCATTTACAGTATGCCAGGTTAGAAAAAATGACATATTCATAATGGATATCTTTGGAGACATCTCTGAAGTTCAGCTGTTAAATTTTCTACAGCAGAAATAATGACCAGCCACTGTCAGAGTTACAGGTGTCCTGTCTGCTTTCTTTATATAAAAAGACTATGTCTTACCAAGTTCTACACAACTGTACTGGAAATTTGTCATTTTATTAAAACATTTCACCATGGTCTAGCTTTTTTCTTTTATTTCATCTTTTCAAATATGTTCTGACTTATTGATGTTATCTTTGTTGGGGGCTTGAAGTGCTTTTAGACATTTGGCTATGGAATGCGTTACTTAAGGTTACATAGTTGCTGTCGAGTGTCATTGATAGGATGTTTTGTCTTTATTATAGTATACCATGCAATCTACCTGGAAGAGTTAACAGCAGGAGAACTGGCTGAAAAGATTGCCAGCTTGTACAATATTTTAACACACCAAATTGGACGGGTTTACAGGCAAGGACCTGCAGGTATTCATGTCCTGGTGTCTGATGAGGTAAGGGATACAAGCTCCTGATAAATGACAAATAAAGTTAGGATACCTGTCATCACTAAACCCTGTGGTTTACATCTTAGTCGGGGGGGGGGGGTTCTTTAGTTAAGTCGATCTGCAGGTGTTAAATAAGGTGTACCTGAAAGGCTTTTTCAAGCTCTAAAAAGTCTACTTTTGAGGCTCAGTTTAAGAGTTCATTGATTTATAGGATTTCTTTTTATACTTTATGACCGTTAACATTATTTAAAACTAGTGACAATCAAGGATGCCCTTTAAGACTAGTTTAAAGTTATGGATAGAAATAAATGAGGTCTGTTAACACAATTAGTATGTATTGTGAAGGAAGCACGTTGTAGTAGAGATGTAATAGATCTTTTAGTCTTTGTGAACCAACAATGGATAGATATTCCTTTTCCAGCAGACGTTTTGTTTGCATGAATGGGAATAATATAAAAGTCATGCACATTCCTTTGTTAATTTACCGAATAGCCCAATAATCTGACCCTGACGGCCAGTTCCTAGATTATCCTGTTACAGTCTTTGCTGGTGATAAAAAGCTATTAACAATAATCTACCTGAAACCTGAGGCCAGTCACCACAGCAATGACAGCCCATCAGCTTGACCAGAAAGCCAAACTTGTGCCAACGCACTGAAGTCCAAATGTAAAGATTAATGGCTTGGAAAATGGTGCATTAATTGTTCTTTAGCTAAACTCTGGAATGCTAAACCTATTTCCAATTCAGGGCAGTTTTTTTGAGATACAGCACGTGGCCCTGTTTGAAAAAACTAATAATGAACTGGGTCAGTAGCTTTAATGAAGTGCTTAGGTTACTGATTGACAGGATACGGTTTTATTTGAGTTTATTTGTTTTCAGGAATTCGTATTTTACTTTAAGTCATGGGCCGTGCAAATAAGACTGCAGAAGAGAAGTGAACTTCACGCATCAACTGTTGCACCTAAAGAAAAAACAGCCCCATTTACCGCACTGTCCAGGGTGTGCTTTGTTGTGGGAGGATTGAAATACTGACCTGATGTGTCGGTTGCTTTTTTTTCCTTTTCTTTCCATAGATGGTGCAGAACTTAACTGAAGAATCCTGCTTCATAATCGGCACAATAAAAGGTAGCGTCTCTTCCCCTCGTTTTTTAAATTTGAAAAAATGTGTTTGGAAGGACAATCTGTGTTGGGAGTGACAACAACCAACAATCATCTCTGCTTCTCTACCTTGTATTTCTTTTCACTTCTTGAAAAACGATAAATCTCTCGGGTAGGCCGGCACTCTTCCTTGTATTGGTCTTCTGCATCTCTCTTCCACCTCTCCTCCTCCTGTGCACCTACTGTACCCCTAGATCACCCCTGTCTCTGCAGGGGGGCCCAGGTCCGGCCCTGCTGGCTGTGGGAGAGGCTGAGACAAAACTTGTATGTCTTGCTTCACCCAGCTAGTCTATAGGGTCACCTGCTTAATGCTTCACTGGGTAAGGCCTCAGTGGATTTGTGAATTGATAGGATTTAATTTAGTCATGAGGAACATTTCGAGATTGCTTTTTTAAGCCCTACTATTCTGATTCATGTGTCATTAAAATTAGATTAGGATTACATATGGAAAAATTGTATTTATTAATAAACATACTGCAAATATTTTTGTATCCCATTTCAGATGAAAACAATGATGGGTACCATATTATCCTGAAGTGAATACGAACGCATCTCTTTGGACCTTCAAGCTTCCTTTAGTCCAGCATACAGTATCTTAACAGAGACCAATTAAAACGTAGCATCTGTGTGCCGAAGAACAGTGAAAGGAATAAACCACAGATGGTTAATTTATAATATTTCTTTTGTTCTGTCTACAGTATATGCTATTACCTTTTTATCCTGCCGCCAACCACTAAAAAACAAAACATGCCAATATCAGTTTGAAGTCCTCAGCCATTTTAGTTTACACTTTACATACACAAAATTGTTGGGAGTAACAGTTTTAAATGTTCGTTTTATATTTTTGTATTGTTATTAGTAATACCAGTAGCGAGCCATACTGGCTTATTAAACAGCAAATGAGATGATGTGGTGATCGTGCTGAAAGGACAAGCAACGAATGAAACCGTTGATAGTTTTTATTAACCTAGGGGATGTGGAACAGAGCTTGTCAGTGAGCAGGAGATTGAGATAGAGATAGTGCATTACTCATACCACTCATTAAAAAAAGAAACTTGATTTGCAGCAGTGCCATTGGCCCAGGTTTGGGGAATTTCTCTGCATGCCAGTTGGTTTTGGCGGTGTATTGCTTCATTAACCCTTACTATAAAACATGCGGCATGTACTGTTTTGCTAAAGAGAGATCTTGGAACCCTGTACATCATGTGGCAGTTCGCAGAATCTTTTAAGGAAGTTATAAGAAAAAATGAACCTGTGCTTAGAAGAGCTGTTTGCCCTGGGGCAGGTATTGTACACCCCTTTTTTCTTTTCTTAGAACTAGCATGAGCTGCCCCACATCAAAAAAAGAGAGTGATAAAATATATTTTTTATCTAAATTAAATCTAATTTTAGTTGGATGAATACATTAAGAAACCTGGTGGTGCTGAAGTGAATGTGTTTTTACACTGGATCTTCGAGGTGCAGGGTTATGTCAAGTTTTTTTTGTTGTATTGACAAACTTTAAAGGTTATGAAACATATTAAAAAAAGAAGTAACCTAAATATCTTTTTTTTATTATTTATTTGACTCGAGTCTGTGTACTTGGGAGTGTTGTAATGGACAATTTTTGTTTCATATCAGAGTTACACCATGATGGTATGGGAAATGAGAAAATGTTGATGCCAAATACTAACTTTATACAGCATATGAACAAAGCCGAAAGAGCGAGGTGTGGGCAAGGGAGTGTGACAGTGAGGCTGGAGCTCAGGACGTTGTATGCTATTTTCTGAGTCTGACAATCACCATATAATGTTTGAAGAATCTTTGTGTTTTTCATTTTCTCTCTGCCAGTGATGCATCGGTATTTCTCTTCTGTCCCCTTGTGTGTTTCACAAGTGCCACAATACTACGACAGTACCCTTCTAACACCTTGATGCATTTTCTTTTTCTCTGAAACCGATTAATCAGTTACAGTTACAGTAGGTCTGTCTAAGTCTCTTGAAGAAACGTCATACTGCTCTGGAAACATTCGGGGTATTCTTAAGCTTTTCATTCTGTGTAAACCAAAAAGGAAATGTTTTGTATGTTTTTATATGAAAAAATATTTTATGGATTACCATTTTGATAGCTTTGTGTCATGATTTTTTTATATGCTGAATTTTAAATCAGTTTGGTGCTACTCATATTGTTTTTAATTCCCAAGGGAAAGGTCTTGACTTCTCACATGCAGCTTTGTATATTTCTTAGTTAACTGTTACCTCTGTTAACAGTCTGACTTTTTGTATTAAACACCTTTCTTTGTGTGTATGGGGAGACAGTGTGTATGAAGTAGCTGAAAAGCAGTTTCAAGGTAGTTTTTTGTCTTTGAAATGTCCAAAAAAGAATTTTTGCACTGCATTGTAATCATCTAAGATATAGTGTCTACTAGTCTGTGTGATGGGCAACTCAATAAGTCAATAAAATGTACTTTTTTGTAACAAAGAAAACAAACCTTTTTTATGAATCCCAATAAAAACAGAGCACAGCTTTGAGGACTGCCACATTGTGGGAGAGCGCATTAGCATTGGTTATTCAACTTCTGCAGCTCAAATATGAGCCAATGACAAGAAAATGCCAAAGGGGCTAAAAACCAAAGCTGTGTTTGTATATATAATAGACGGTGACAACAGCAGGGGTGGAGATGCCTTGAGGACAAGAAGAGACTGCAGTTCCCTTCTGACGTTACTGTATTTACACGTGTGTATATACTGTACAGAGGTCAGGAGAAATCTCTGCTACAAATCATTTCAGTAATTTTAGTCATTTTAAATGAGGCTAACTCAACTTTCACCAGAAGAGTGCAGATATGGCTTAATTAGGTTGTCTTCATAAATGGCTTTGACAACAGATCATAATGTTCACAGATGGCACAAAAGAGCAAACACAGCCCTGTAGCTCCAGGGAACACTCACAAATTAGTGCCAGGCAAAATCAGATCAGGCGTGACCAACACATAGGCAGCATACTGTACGTGTTTTCATGCTTTACTTTTAAAACATGATAACACGGAGGACTTGTAGTTTATTACTGGTGTCTCCTTATAAATTCAAAACAATCAATTTCCGCCTAGCAGTTACATCTGCCTAATGACGTGATGCTTGCTGTCCAGGTTTATTTCTCACCTGTTGATTTCAGGATATTAATGATCTCAAAGAATCAGCACCAGCTATATTGCTTGTAATACTAGTTAAAAGCCCTTACTTTGCACCCTTTCAATGCATTTAGCAATCTGTGCCACCCCTCTGCTGGGTTTAGACAATTCTTACCTTTCAGAGATTCTGAGTATTAGACTTCAAATCTCCCCTTTATTGGATGAAGCAAGTAGAAAATGAATGGGTTGATGGGCTTCCATTTGAAACTCCGGGGTATGTGTCTTCTATGCTCAAAAGAGCCTCTTTTTGTTTCAATTTACTGAAACGAAAGCCTTTATGTTGTGGGAAAATGCATTTTGTTTTCAACAAAAGCTACATGTTGCAAAGAGCAAGCATATCCCGTTGGGTGGGTCCCTTCATACAGAAGGATTAGTAAGTGCTTCCATGAGAACATAAAGACAGGAAATACACCCACAGAAGCCATCTCCTTTGTCTCATCACGAAAAGCACCATGAAACTCACTGCGATTAGAAACAGATTGGAGAACACGAAGATTGCTTGTAAATTGTTTAAGTCTATACAAAATTACATATACAGTATATGCGTGCTCCCAGTGAACATCCATGACAACTTCACATTTTGAGGAGCAACTATAGCGAATGGCTCAATGAATATATAACGAGTGTTTCTGGCTCCAACCAGCATGGGATAATAGTGAGATACAGAATTAATAATAATTGCTTACACTTATATAGCGCTTTTCTGGACACTCCACTCAAAGCGCTTTACAGGTAATGGGGATCCCCTCCACCCCCACCACCAATCTGTAGCCCCACCTGGATGATGCGACGGCAGCCATAGTGCGCCAGAACGCTCCCCACACATCAGCTATCAGTGGGGAGGAGAGCAGAGTAATGAAGCCAATTCATAGAGGGGGATTATTAGGAGGCCATGATCGGTAAGGGCCAATGGGAAATTTGGCCAGGACACTGGGGTTACACCCCTACTCTTTTCGAGAAACGCCCTGGGATTTTTAATGACCACAGAGAGTCAGGACCTCGGTTTCACATCTCATCCGAAGGACGGCGCCTGTTTACAGTATAGTGTCCCCGTCACTATACTGGGGCATTAGGACCCACATGGACTGCAGGATGAGCACCCCCTGCTGGCCCCACTAACACCTCTTCCAGCAGCAACCTTAGTTTTTCCCAGGAGGTCTCCCATCCAGGTAATGACCAGGCTCACACCTGCTGAGCTCCAGTGGGTTGCCAGTTGTGAGTTGCAGCGTGATATGGCTGCTGGCTGCTATTGTATTAAGCACCTGACAAAACACAGAAAATGAAGTCAGCTGTAAGTGATGTTCACTACGTTGTTGACGAAACTTGTATACGGTATGCTGCAGAACTACTCTCAAAACAGTGTGAGTCATACCACGTGTGAAATTGTTTGGCAATACTGTGACTGCACTTCTTCCACCATGTTTATTACAAACATCGTGCTGCTTTTAATCTTTCCCTGGATTTTGACCTTGTCTCCTCTGAGCCTCCGCGCTACCACAATCCATCTGAATAAAATGATCAGAGAAAGCACAACCTCAAAAGGTGACGTAAGGGGTGTTGTCCGCGGGAGAAAAGCATCAATTTAGCCAAGACTGGAGTCAGCTTGTTCAGACTGATCCAGTTTCACCCGGATAAATGCCCAAGAAAAGGAGACAGTGACCCTCTGATAATCAGAAAACCCTTTTTACCAGCACTTGTGACAAGACACTTTCAGCTTCCCCTTACTGTTACTAAGCAACACTCAAATTACCTTCTCTTTATTACAGTGCTGATGATTTAAAATGTTTGTCTTTTCAATTTGGAGCTCAATAATTAAGCTGGATAAGCATGAGGTCAGCTTCCCCTGCTCTTTGTTACCTACAGGCCCTGGGCTCAGGGCTCCAGGCAGATCTGCGGGTTTTCTCTTTCGTGTGTTTTCATTCCATACTTGTGGAAGACTGGTGGGAACCGATGCCACTACAGTCACCACTGGTGCTGAATACCACACTCCATGCAACTGTTTTTTTTATGGTAATAAAAACTTAAATAAATTAAAAGTAATAAAATTTACTTGGAAAATTTTGTAAAACAGAACTGTGCACCACAACCATCGCCACCTGTGCTCTAATGTTTCACTCGGTGCTCTCGGTCCCTTTGGCAGTGCTATTATTGTGCAATTACCCGACACTGTTTATAACTCTCAACACTGTGGGCAGAAAGAATTTACATGTAAATAAAAAAGACATGTTGAGAACCTTCTATGTAATCCACCTCTTGCCCTGATCGTTTATTATATCTTTAAAATCTTAGTGAAGAATGTCCTTCTGGCATTTTCCTAGAGACTGGAATCCATTCAACTGCTGCCTACACACCTTTCTAAGAAACGCCCTTTGAGCGGTTTGACTTTACTTAAAAGACAAAAGCACACCGAGGACACATGCTGGGTAACAGTGGGGCGGTACAGCCACAGCTGCTCGGATGGAGAAGCGCAGGTCAGCACACAAACCCCGCTCGAAACAGAGAAGGGGAAAGCACAGCGACAGAGAGTCGGAAACACAACTTAGTGTAAATAAAAAAGAAATACAGTGCATATTAAAGATGAAACAATAAAAATCACACTTCCCTGTTACTCGATCACTCATTCGGACTAGTAATTCCACACTGAACAGACCCGTCACCCGCGCCAACATCTCGCAGGCTGCCGGACGTCTCCGAGTTCAGCCCTGTGGCCGAGTCGTGGCTGACCTTTTCCGATTTTCGATTTTTAAGAACTTTATTTTCTTTTCACAAAAAAATACAGGACATCACAAATCAGAAAGCTTTACATTAATATACATACTTAAAACAGTATATATGATCACATCTCATTACATTTTGACACGGTACCAGTTACATAGCAACAATTTTCTTTTTTTTCTGGTGCAAATCACATTCTTTACTTAAACATGATCATGTTTTCCACAGTTTCTTGAGATATTGACCTATGCTCTCTATTTCCCACAGATTTTCTGCTTCCTCCCTCCCTTCTCTCCACAGATCTCTGAGGTAATAGTTCTCTCGGGTGATGAACAGGGCCAGGCTACCTGCTGCCTTGACTGGGACCTCGATGCCTTTGAACAGCCCCATGTTCCTCACTCTCCACAGGGCGTCTTTCCCACTGTTCACCACGGCCCAGATCCTGTCAAACACGTCAGGAGGAAGTTTGACAGGAGAGATGCCGTATATGACGAAAGCAGTGGTCAGGGTAAATTGGGGCGAGAGAGCCTGCAACCAATCTTCAAACTGTGCCCAGAAGGCCTTAGCAAAAAAGCAGGACCACAGGAGATGGGTCACAGTCTCCTCCTCGCCGCAGCCCACCCTAACGCAGCGAGGGCTGGGGGTGAGGCCCCTACGGTACAAGAAAGTTCGTACCGGTAAGCACTGGTGGACGACACTCCAGGCTAAATCTCTGTGAATGTTGCACAGAAATTTAGAGGATGTGTGTTTCCACACCTTCCTTGTTTGGGCTGATGTTAAAATGCCCACAGGGGTCTGCCTATTGTTCTGGGGTGCAACAAAATCTTCCAGTTTTTGGACGCTGACATCTCGGAGGGGAATATGGCCAATTGGGTGAGATCTTAGAAAACTAAGGCTGACCTTTTCCCCCGGCGTTGCGGATGCAATATCTCGGAGTAGCCCACGGCTTAACAGCCACTGCTAAATGCCGGGTACCAGCCGGCGGGCCTCACGCTTGTGGTGGTGCCTGTGTCCCATCTGGAGTAAGAATGTAGCAAAGTGATTAAGGGACTCTGGAGTCGTTAATTGGAAGATTGTGGAGTCGAATCAGGGTGGGGTCACTGCTGGGGGGCCCTTGACGAAGGGATTTCGCTCAGGTTGGGACAGTTCAATGCCCAGCTGTATAAAGATGTATGAATTCATAGCGCTTTGGATAAAAGCGTCAGTCAAGCGGGATTACATTTATCTGTCAAAGGACAGCTTTCCGTAGGAAACAGCATCAGAAATACGTTCTAGGGCAACGCAATTTTGACATCAAGATTAATTCTCTGTCACGGGCTCAGCATTCTCCTCACGGATGTCGGAAAAAGGACGAACCGTGGAGAGCGAAAAAGACCCTATCCGTAGCTTCGAAACGGGGGTT